GGCTTCTTTCAAGAAGTTAACCATGCATTGTTTTCTGTTAGCTGAAAGAAAGGCTCTCCATATTTGCCGAAACATTCAAGACAGGTCTCTTATAAATAGAGAAATTCTGGCTTTCAAGTAAGGTTTTTTCTGGAATGGTCAATTCTGCTTAAAGCTCAAGCAGAAAAGATGCTCTGCTTCTAAGAAAAGCACCTTCCACACTGAAGCTCCTCTGAGAGTCATGTTTTGTCCACATGTGACAGTTACCACGGATGCATTGCCGTGCAACTATGTTGATGGTCAGGGGAAACAGCCACCTTTACACAGATAAGTGGGAGCCTCAGAGGATGGAGAACTCTGCAAGGTGTGTGTTCAGCCAGACACCGCCCTGCAGAAGGCAGAGGTTGGCCTGAAATTTCCATGAAACAGGGTCAGGTGGTTTACTCAATAGCCCCACAGCTCTCCTGGACTGTTGCTGCAGCAACACAAATTACATCAGTATCAGTTGATTTATACAGCAAATCCCGTCAAGTCTCTAGTAATTGTAAATGAAACATGGATAACACAAAAGTAACACAAATGTAGCTGATAATAAACTGATACAAAATTCTACATTGTACCCACAAATGCTTTCGCAATTCTCGTGTTATTTTCCCAGGTACTAAGGCTTGGAGATCAGTCTCATTTTAGCCTCAACTACTATGTCCTGTGTTCTCTACGTGTTGATCCTTTCATGGGTGTGGTGTGTTCCAGTTCTCACTGTTAGGAGCCACATCTCAATACTTGCATTTTCTGACCAGCTCCTAGACAGGTTTCCAGCAATACACTCCTTCATGGCTGATTGCTGCTGTGTTCATATTATCACACGCCCATCTCCTACCAACTCGAGAATCTTCCCTAGGCCCCTCCTGTCTGTAGTCCTGCCTATTTGTCAAGTGTATGTCTGAGTTCCCTCTTTACTGGGCCCAGGTCACTTGTCAAAGGGAGAGACACACAGTCTACAGAAAAGAGCCCGGCTCTTGTGTTGGAATATTTCAAGGTTAATCCCATCTCCTCCAGTTACTTCTCCAGAGGCTCTGAGCCTGTCCCTCCAGCTCTTCCCTTTCAGAAAACTCACTTGAAAAGCAGGAATAATACAATTGATGTTGAGTGGTTATATGAAAATTAGACATTATGTCCACAGTACTATGTTGGTTCTACTCATTCACGCTATCTAGCCCGCCTTTGTTCACATTAGACCTCTGACTCAAGATGCTCACCCTTCCCGCATTTTCTACTCCCAAAGCTTCAAAGAAGGTGGTAATCAGGGATAGGAAAAACTATGAGGAATATATTACAATGTGGGGATCCTTTTGAGTAAACCCCAAATTCAGTTGTATTTTTTTTAAGCATAGAAGTGGAAATCCCATTAATGGGAGAAATACTTAAATAAGAGCTCATTTCTCAGAATCCCCTGGGCAAAGCAAGTACCAATGATTTCTCATTCCCATTTGCTTGGGAAATCAACAAATAATAACCAAGTACTTATTAAACACCAGACACTAAGGGACTAACGATATAAACCCATGATCTTGCTATGTAGACATAATGACCAATTATGGAAGACAGGAGTGTGACACACATTCAAAAATAAGGATGCATGTGGCAATCAAACTATCATAAAATAATATAAAAGGAAGAAGATGGGGCATCTAAGTTTAGCTCAGAGGATAAGTCCGCGTAGAAGATGTGCTATCAAATTCAAATGTGACTCTTATGAAGAGGGGAAGGTTTGCCAAAACTGGGCAGGAAGAGGCTTCCAGGAACAGAGGCAAGCCTTTCTGAGCAGGGAATCTATACAAGCAAAGGTGTACCCAGGGCTGGAACACATCAATAGGAATCAAAAGCTCTATCACTAAGGCTTAGGCTGGATTAAAATGGGGAGTATGAAGAAGAAAAAAAGGGTACCAGTTAAGATGACATCCTGAGCCAGGGAGTGGGTGTGAACTTTATCCTAAGGGCACGGGAAAGTGAGAGCATGGTATCTAATTCCAGGGTTTTTCACTAACTGATATTGTCAAGGCTTATGTAGGGTACTGTAAGAAGGGGTGTGAAGCTTCACGTGCCCTGACACATTCCAAGCCAATGAAATGCTATGTGAGAAATGGCTGGTGATCTCTCCTAAGGAAGCCTGGGTAGTGGTGCTGGAGAAGCAATGTGAGCAGAAAGGAGGTGAGCCACTCACTGACTTCCGGGTACCAACACCAGTCAAGCAAAGCAGAGAGATTGGCAAAATCCTCAGGCAGTATCGACAGCAACAGGGATGAGCAAGAGTCTCATAGGATAGCTCGCACATTCACAGCACAAATTGTCACTTTTAGAGATGGTCTCTCAGTCTCCTTCTAGAAACAGGGTAACATAATGACATCATTTATCTGGTCCCCAGGGAGACAAGGTGGCATGTCATAATCATTACGGACTTAGGACTCAAAGGGGCCGGGACATGAAGCCCTTTCCATCCACTTCCTTCCTGTATGACTTGGGCAGTTCGCCAACTTTCAAAGCATTCCTCAGCATCTCTTCCATCTCTGTCTGTCTCTATCTCTGTCTCTGTCTCCCTCCAGAGATCGCACCCTGGATCTCATGCATGCTAGGCAAGCATTCTACCGCCAAGCTATAGCCTCAGACTTCCTATATTCCCTTTTCACATTGAGACAGTGATTCACTAAACTGACATGACTGTCTTTGAACTTACTCGAAAGCCCAGGTTGGCTTCGAACCTGCAACCACCCTGCCTCAGCTTGCTGAGTGGCTAATACTATAAGCCTTTGCCAACATACCCAGCTAGAAGGTTTGTTTTGTTTTTGTTTTGTTTCGTTTTGTTTGTTTGTTTTGTTTTGTTTTTAGAATAGGGAAGAGCCAGTGTGCAGAGTACCTAGAATATTCCTTGGCATATGGCAGAGTATGGGACAGACTATCCAGATATACACAAAGTCACAAAGAACAGGGATGGCCCTCCAAGAAGAAAAAGCAGTGGAGGAAGGGGGGAGAAATCGGTCAGCTCTTAAGTGCCTCAGCCATTAAATCTAAATTCTTAAAGTGGAGAGAGTAAGTGCATCTTTCTCTGCGAGGGCGTGTTCAACTGTTACTTTGCAGTTGGTATTAACACAGATAGAAGGAATATGACTGCTAATTAAATCCTCATTGAGGTCTACCCACAACAAATATACAATTAAGATGCCAGGCATGAGGATGGGGAATAGAAAGCAAGGGAACATGACAAGTCCTCTATGAAAGACCCTTCCTTTTGTACGCCATTAATAACCCTCTGCTTCCCTGGCCAGCTAAGCTTATTCTCAAAATGGTACTTCTAGCTTAATAGTGCTAAAATACATGACCAGCATCCTGAAGCTTACTCCCTGCATCTGATAAAAGGACACAGGGATGGGGAGCCTACAGGTATCTAAGACTCCATCATTTCCCCTCTCTAGTCCAAGCCAACATGACTGCTCCATGCAGAAGAGTGAGCTTCCTGATGCCTAAAATTAGGAAGCTCCTATGCCTAAAGGTAGCTGGAGAAGCCAAATGAGCCAAGTGGCAATGGTTTAGCTCCAGGAAGAACTTCTTTCAGATTCTACCAAGACAGGGACCATGCCCCTGGCCAAATGATAAGATGAACTGACCGCTTAATCCTGAGCCTGTTACATCCCGTAGATGCATTATATTCCACCAACACCCAATCTATCCTACAGGCTCAGAATTTCCTCAAGGCTGTTTATAGGGTAACTCGGATCAGCTCCTCGTAAGAAAGATGCGGGTGACAATTACTTGTGATAACTACCAAAATGCCATAGCCTAAAATAATGGGCAGTGGAGGCTGAGGAGGTGGTTTGGGCAGTGAAAGTAATTGCTGCATGGCTGACCACTTGAGTTAGAACCCAGGGACCCACGTGATGGAAAAAAAAAAAAAAAGAAACAAATCCCTCTTGTAAGTTGTCCTCTGACTTCCACTCATGAGTGATGATACTTGTGTACCCAAACACACACACACACTGAATAAATAAATATAATTCAGTAATTAAAAATAGAAAACATAAAATACTTACATCAACCTTAATTCCACTTAAGAAGGAAGCTGTGTTTGTTTGAGAAACCACCCAGTCCCAGGTTGGCTTAATTTAGTACTATTCCCTTAAGAGATTAAACAAACCTTCTCTATCAGTCTTCCTCCCATCACAAAGGGACCCCAAGCCTGCAGTGGCTTCCCATTTCCCCAGAGTCAGTGACAGAACATCTACCTACAAAGCTCTACAGATGACTTTCAACAGCACTGATGTCCCTCTCAAAGTATCTCCAGCCACAAAAAGACAGTACGAGAACTTCATTTCCAGCTCTTTTCAACAGTCAACTCATGAAGCTGACCACAGTACCACATGGCTATCAGAGGACAAACTCAGCTACTACCTCAGTGAGCATGCTCCTCACAGTGCATATCTAATGCCATCACGGAACAATGCCGCCAATCTCTACACAAGGCTGGCTTAGAGGTTAGCAATCCCACACCAGCAAAGATCAGGAGGAGAGAAGACGTTGGGAGAAGGGATGGATATCACGTCCCTGAACTGATGGATTTTTGTCCTTAGTAGAGGACAATGCTGAGACCCTTTTTAATAGGACCTTAGCAAGGCAAAGTTCCCACAGCAAATGTTATCCAGACAGATGGTGAAACTATGCGGATCTCATAGAACAATAACATCAGTAGAACCCCAACAGCTCCTTCCTTAAGCAAGGATATAATTGGGGCCCCTTTTCCTTCCTCTCCAATCAGAATAGTAAAGCCAGATGGCATCTCCTCTGAGCAGCACAGCTCACTAACCTACATAGTTCCTGGAGCAGAAATGAGTCCTCTATCAAATCTGCTAATTTGCTCTGCTCCAACTCCCAGAGATCAGGATCAACTTCCCTGTGGGGATCCCTGCTCTGTGCTCTGGAAGCCACGTTTTGGTAAAGAGGCTGGGGCAGCGGGAGGAGGGACCACTCACCATCTGATTGCTATACCAGTACAGCGATGACCCCTTCAGCACCACCCAGAACTTTTTCCATTTGTTGCTCAGGAAAGTTCCCTTTTCCTTTTTCTTGTACAGCCAACCCTGGCAGTCAGCGTGGCCCAGATCTTTACACGATATCCTCCTCCGACTCATGGTGAAAAAACCTGCAGCAGTTATACAAACAGGTTAAGTGTGCCCCGGACTTGGGTGGCAAAATAAAAGGCAACTTTTAGTCGTTTCCACGGCAAAGACTGGATGTTCTCATTCATGCAAAGTAACTGTTTAAGAAAGAAAGAAAGAAAGAAAGGAAGAAAGAAAGAAAGAAAGAAAGAAAGAAAGAAGAAAAATAAAGGAAGGAGGGAACGAGAAAGAGAGAAGGAAAGAGGGAAAGGAAGAAAGAAGAAAGAAAGAAAGAAAGAAAGAAAGAAAGAAAGGAAAGAAAGAAAGGAAAGAAAGAACCCCATGTATCTGATCTATTTTTAAACATTCATTCGGTGCCTAAAAAACCCGGGCAAAGAGGCAGTGAGGCTTATATGCAAGCATAGGTCTGAAAACCTTAGTCAAAAAGAGTAAGTTGAAAAAAAACGTTCAACTCTCGGGGCTAGCAGGCACACTGCAGCAGCCACACGGGTCCTTCACACAGTAACAGCGGCAGTTATGCAACAGACAATGGAAGGGTTAAAGCCCACCTAGGACCCTGGGGACTTCCTGACTCAGTGCCAGCTTCTCCACGCAGTGTGGACAAAGCGCAAGGGACTAGTCCTAGTGAACAGCGTGTCATTCTTTCTTAAAAATCAGTCCAAAAGCAACCCAAAAAATTAATCTGCCGCCCATCTCCTGATAATAAATTCAGACAGACAAGAAGAACCTAGTCCCCTTCCCAAGAAGGCATCCAGGAGAAAGGAAGAAGAAGAAGGAAAAAAAAAAAAAATCACACTCACAGGCACAAGAAAGGGATAAAGGGACAAAAGGGATCTAATTACCTTGAGTTTTCTTCCTCGGCTTCTGACGCAAGGGAACCTGCTGGAAATGCAGGAAGGAAAGAAAAGAGGCAATTTCTGATTGTGTTGTAACATTTGTAAAGAGAGAAGGAGGGAGGGGGCGGCAGTGTTTATGAGCGGGGTGGATTCTAAAAAAAAAAAGAAAAAGAAAGAAAGGAAGACTCTCCAAGCAGAGCTCAAGGGGAGCTAAGAGCTGAGGCACAAAATGTGCTAATTAGAATCGATATACATTGAGCTGAACCTGGAAAAAGGTAACAGGGCATTTATCTGTGGGGCTTCCTGTTTCCTCCCACAAGCAACTCTCGCTACTACGTTATTGAGGGCACCGTTCTTGATGAAGTTCTAGAAAATCATGAAATACTTTACCTATACATTTTTTGTGAGAGAGGAAACATCTCTTTTCTCTCTTGGTTTCTAATTAATTTTGATTATTTAAATAAAACCCGAGGATAATTGTTTCCATCTCAAGCTGTTAAATGTTCACAACAGACTAACTTCACAGTCTTGCTAATATACAGAGCTCTACCTAAACCACAGGCATTAAATAGCCTTGGGAAAGAAATTCCTTATCTGTTCTTGTGTGACCTCAGGGACTCCAAAGCCTCCTGATTGGGAATTTCTTATTCTCAGCCAAATTTACATATCTTATTCTATCTTTATCTCTGAATATTTCTCACATGCTTTATAGACGATAAATATTCAAATATTCAAATCAGACATGATAATTTATATAAAATACACATATTTTCCACAATACATTTTCATCAAGTCATATAAAACCAGATTCCAAACAAAACTGGAAACCCCCCCTAAAAAAATATGCTTGCAAATGCCTCGCTCTCTCTCCTCACTCTCTCTCTCTCCTCTCTCTCTCCTCGCTCTCTCTCTGTGCAAATATTACAGAGAACTTCAGCTTCAAAATTTTTCATTTGTTCTTTTACAGCATCTAAGCTGAAATTTTTCAGGTTTAGATACTTTTCATTTACTGTTAGCAAGCAGAGACTTGAAAACATTTAAACACGCAACTATTTATGGTACTCTAGATGCATCTGGCTAGTAGTCCACATCTCCAGCTACTGATGAATGATGTGTGTGTGTGACTCTGTTGTATGTTTGGCAGGGGAATATGATCTACAGAAGAGCTAGGATAGAATTTTTAAAGCCAGGGGCCCAGAGTTAGCCAGGAGCTATATTACCCAAGGAAACTCACTCTAAGCCTATTTCCCCGTTTGTAAAAATCAAGATATACACAAGAAATACTCAGGAGGCTGAGACAGGGGGATTCTCACATGACTAAGGGCAGAATGGCCTATAGAGAGCACTGTGTGTGTGTGTGTGTGTGTGTGTGTGTGTGTGTGTGTGTGTGTGTTCTAATCCCTGTAAGTCTCAAGGAGATCTGCCAAGATTTATTTGTGAAAAGATTCTGATAACTAAAAACCATGTTTCTGTGAATGCATCGTGGAGATTAGCAAAGATAAGCAAACACTTAATAAATAAACTCATCATTTTAGAGTAAACATGACTCGAGCTTCCCTCAGCTGGGAAGATGGAGTTAAGGTCAAATTGTGTTTCTTCGGGGACACAAAACCAGTACAATCCTGACCTGGCTTTTTATTTTATGAACATCATTTCTTCCCTTGGACCACCGATCTCTCTGAGGATAATGCTTAAGCAAACTGAACATGTGTCAGTCATGGCATGCTAATTAAGACTAAACATGTAAGGGGCTCATCTCCCTTCCCTTTCCCTAATATTTCCCACAGTCACCTTCTTGGTCTAAGATCCCCACCATGCCTTAGTCTCTGGGCCTTCTTTGTTTCTTATTATTCCAATATCCTGAGATCAGTAAACTCAATTAGTGTCTACTGGTTACGTAATACAGTCCAATTGAGAGCTGGGGCGAAAGACGAAGAGTAAAGGTTTGACAGGCTGGGGTCCCAAGGAGCAAATTTATTAACTGTAAACAGGAGAGGGGAGAAAGCAGAGGGTATTCCTAGAGGGTTGGAGCCCTGGGCAAACAAAATAAAACTACATTACTTCAAACTACACCAGAGGCTCTAAAAGAAGAACAAGAAAATGGGAGGTGATATCTAGGGGACAGCTATGGAGTCCTGAAAAGGAAGGACAAAGTTGACTTTCATTCCTTAGTTCTTCAGCCATGCTGAAGGGAACTGAGTCTCTGCAGTCAGTGCTGGTTAGCTCCCTGTGACTCTGCTAGCTCTACAGCTCTGCCATCAAGCCTTACAGGTTTCCAGGGAAATCCCCAAGTCAAAAAAAAAAAAAAAACAAAAAAACAAAAAACAAAAAAACGTGTCTTCATTTCTCCTAATACCAGCTATAGCTGGACAGCTGGTTTCTTGCTCCTAGCTTGGCTTGAGAGTTAGGAGTCGACATCAGGTCAATACAGCCCCCCACCCCACCCAGGCAAGATGTTCCATTCCTCCAAGCAAGCCCCTTGTGACTCAAGCCTGCTCTGATAATCCTCCCCCAAAGCCAATTTACTGATGCTCCCTGTTTCCCCCCTGGCCAGAGAGAGACAGGCTGCACATTAGAGAAATAAAAACTACCAAGGGTTTCGGTTTCACTTGGTAGATGTGCATTTGAAACCCCAACTGCTCTACAAGAAGTCATGAAAACAACCTCTGAGAACTTGGCTGAGTCTAAGACACATTTTCCTCCTCACAACAGGAAGTGGAACCCATGAACTAGTCGGTTTCAAGACCTTCATGTGGCTTTCTCATTGGGTAGGTGAAAACATTAACAGCCGCCTGAGCCTTTCCGTAGACGATTCTGACCATCCCTGACATTTAGAGTTAAATAAGATATTCCTCCCAACTTATTTTCTTCCTGTTAAAGAGAAAAGGGACGACTTAGTCTAAAAATATAAATTTTCCCTAAGATAGACCTAAAATTTGGGGAAAAGTCTCAGTGAAAACACATAGATTTTATTAGAGAAATGCACACTTGTCCTTTGGCCTTGGAAAGGTGGCCCAAATGTTTAATTTGAGAGATGAGACAATGATTCAGTCAATAAAGTATTTGCTGGACAAGCATGAGGACCTCAGATGCCTAGAAATTGTGTTAAAGAGCCAGCTACGGTAGTGTGTTTATGATGTCAGCAAGTTTCAGGGCAGTGAATGACTCAGAAAACATGATGTTGACCTCTAACCTCCACAGACCACATCTGCACACACTTACATGCCTGCACACATGCATTTTCAGTGGTCCTGGTCTTCAGCAAAAAATCATACAGTGATATTTTGATTAGTTTCATCTCTGTTGTTGCTGTGGTAGAATACTGTAGCAAAAAGAAACTTCAGGAAGGGGGGTATTTTAATTTGTAATTTGAGTTTAAGTGGTCACTGTAGAAGAAGTCAGGGTTGCAGGAACCTGAAGCAGCTTCGTCACATAACATCCGCAGTCAGGAGTAGAAAGTAAGGAATACAGACAAACTCACGGGCTTCCTTGCGCTCAGCACACAATTCAGGAAACCCTGCCTAGGAAATGGTGCCACCCACGGTGGGCTGGGTCTTCCCACATCAGTTAACCTAAGGTGATTCCCACATACACGCACCAGGCCAGCCCAAAGTAGACAATCCCTGACTGAGATTCCCTTCCCAATTAAGTCTAGATTGTTATTAAGCTGACAACTAAAGCTAACCATCAACTTGGCCAAGCTCTTCATTTCTGGAAACACTGGCTTGCGGCATCCGCCACTTTTTACGGTATGCTCCACACATTCCTGGCAATATATAAACTGCCATTACTAAGTGACCAAGAATTTGGGATTCTCCACAAGTACCTGACAATTACACAAGCTTCTTTCTATATTGTTGGAAAGCTAAACTCGACTTTTTAAAAGGCGTTGTTAGGCACTTGATTAGTAAAAACTTACCTGTGATAATACACGTAAAAAAAAGTTGGCTTAACTTTTTCTGAATGCTAGCCGCTTAAACATTATGCAATACCAAAATATTGAATGAAAATCTCTCTCTCTCTCTAGTTGTGAATAACAGAGATGGGCAGTGGGAAAAAGCTGGAAAAGCTAGAGAATGGCAAAGGCTAGGGCTAAGAACACAAAGGAAGACCAACATATAATTGGTAAAGCAGTTAAAAAAAAAAAAAAAAAAAAAAGGTGCCCCGAGGAAAACTGAACAGGAATCCTCAGAGTCAAACTCAGAAGAAGACTATTATGAGTGTGAGGGAGAGACTCCAGAGAAAAGCTGGTCCAAACCACCAAATTGTAATGCTTTAAATGGAAAAGCTTATTCGAGATTTCTGTATCATTTTTCTCTTCTCTGTGACACAATGCCTGATAAGAGAAACTAAATGGGGAGGGGATGTTTGGGCTCACACAATGTCAGGAAATACAGCATGCTAGAGAATTCATAATTCAGCAGCTAGGTCTTGGGCAGCAGGAGCTTGCGACTGTCACCAGGAAGCAAAGATCTGGGGCAGGAAGGTAGCTATGGCCCTCAAGGTTCACCCCAGTGGCCTACTTAAAGTGGGTAGATCTTATGTTTCAAGGATTCTATAGCTTCACCAAACTGTGACCATCTGGGGATCATGTGCTCAAGTGTACAAGTCTGTGTGGAACACTTCAGATTCAGACCACCACAGAAATCTTGGCTATGTAGTCTTTGGAGCCACAGGACAAATTCCAGCAGGTTCTAGCATAACTGGGAACTAAGGAAGTATACACAGAGTTGATGACATGACAGTACTAGGCAGGCTCAAGGTCGGGATGGAAAAAGCTATGTGCTCCCTCTCAAACCAAGCTTTCTGCTTAAGCTTATTGTGCCCAATTGAATGATGCACACTTGACAGCAAATTGACAGGTCAATGTGAAATGCTTCAGCCGGACCATATCCTCAATTACTGAATGCCATGTTATTCTTCCTCCTTTTCTCATTTTTGGCATTGTTAAGAAAATAAAATATAAATGCTGCAATCTCTCCAAGTTTCTTCCCTCGTCCACTTACTCTCAGTTGCTCCAGCTTACTCTAACATGACATGTTTACA